ACTCGATAGGTGGATAAAAATGCCAAATCTAGTCTAAACATCTGGCTGACTGTGCAACTAACAACAAAAACAATAATAAAACATTAGCTTTCCTTTAGGCACCCTGCACACACATAGAGGCCTACTTTAGGGGCACTTGAGTTAGACATTTGGGGTAGTCTTCCTGGGTCAACAACAGAATTGGTGAGGGTGTTGGGAGCAGCCCAGAAAAAGGGAGTCATTGCACACTGTTGCCTGCTAGTACACTGACACACTCAAGATACTTCTCAGAATTATTGAGATTGGCTGATGGATGAGTTTTGAGCCTGATGGTATTTCCAAATATACAGTATTTGGATACTGTAGCTGTGGTGCTTTTAATATATGGTAGATAAGCATTGCTTGCAAAAGGAACTATTAACTAGTAAGACTGATCACTGCCGATTTTCAAATACTTTAGAAGTGAAGACTAGCCTTCCCCAGCCTGGTACTCTCCAAATAAGATGAAACTACAACTCAGCAGATTTCTAGGCTGCATGGCCATTGTTTCCTGGCAGCCCTGGATGTTGCAGAGCCACACATGTCGGAAAGAACCAGATTAGGGAATGCTGGATTAGGAGATTGAAAGTATGCCCATTTAATAAGATATAGAGTCACTTGGAAATTCTCCCATCCAATGCCTCTCTCATTCATTCATTCATTCATTCATTCATTCATTCATTCATTCATTCATTCATTCATTCATTGCATTTATATAGTCGCCCAGAGTCACTTTGTGAGATGGGTGGCTATATAAATGTGATGTATGAATAATAGATATATATAAGAGAGAGGCATTGGATGGGAGAATTTCCAAGTGAGAGATTGGAAATTAAGAACTACTGTATTGACTCCTCCAGCTTTTCACTCTGCCCAAATAACTGGAGTGGAGTCTCTTACTTTGTTGTAATTGATAAAAGAATATTCCAAATAACATTTCCAAAGAATGAAACTGGTCAGGCTTTTCAAAAGAGTGTGGGACAGTTGGCTTGGGGGGGACAACAAATTTCGTCTTGGTTCAGATGCATCCTGTCAAGATAGCTTGGAGGTAGGGAAATAAATACCTTTGCAGTACTGTATTCCAGAAGGATTTGATATTCATAATCTGGTACTGTATTAGGCAGATGATCTGTTTATACCTGATGGAGACAGAACAAGAATTTAGCTAGTAATCATGGTCTTGACATTTTAACTAACAACCTCTGTCCCAAACAACCATTGTTTGGTCCCTAACTTGAACACAACAGCTCCAACAACTCCACGCCTCCCTTGCACCCTCACACATCCCCTTGCGTCCTCCTCCACCTGGCAGTAGCCACTTATTTGTGAGCTGCCTGGGACTTGCAATTTCCTGCCAGCTTTCCCACTGACTTGGTTGTGGGAAGTCGTTAAGAAGTTGCCTCCCCTAACAACTGTGGGATTTGGTTAACAATGGCAACCAGGACTGCAGGGATTGCCATTGCTAAGCAATGCGGTCACACTTTACGACTGCATCAGTTAGCAGTGCAGTTCCAGTCCCAATTGCCGTCATAAGTTGAGGACTACCTGTAAAATTTAGGCCAACGGCTTTACTTGCCTTGTTGTATTCATTTAAGCACTTTTCAGCATCCTCAGCCTTGTGATTGTCAGTCACAGTGTCATTAACCAACAGGAAATGAGTGAGCGTTTCACTGTATTGATTGCCTCTTTTGCCTCAATTAAGCCCCTGAAGAAGCTTTGGGCAGATTATGTCACCTTGACAGACACCTTGGCATATTGAAATATTAATTGGGCAGTAAAATGATGTCATATTGGTTGAACAGCCTTAATTTACATTTTCTGTAACATTTGGATGTATTTTTTGGCAATGCCTTGATTTCTATATAATTACATCCATACTGTAAAGCACTTTTTCATAGTCAACAGACATAAGGCACTGGGGCATGTGGATTTCTCATGTTTGTTCATATGTAAGCAGTTGACCATATGTAAGCAGTTGATGGTCAAATACCCTTTGTGAAAGCTAGCTTGTTCTCGAGGCTGATGTTTATCCAGGTGTTTCTCCAGTCCGTTGATTATCACGCGCATGAAGTGTTTGTAGCCTCTAGAAAGTAGTCAGATTGAGCAGTCACGTTTGAGATGGGCAGCCATATAAATTGAATAAGTAAAATAAATGGTAAGTTTTTGGAGTTTTATTCTTGGGGAGTAAGATTGTTTTTTATGTTTTCCACTGTTCAGGAAGATCTGCATCTAAGCAGTTATTGAAGAACCTGATTTTGCTAGTGTTTCTCCACTTGCTTTGTAAACTTCTGAAGTGGTCCTGGGGCTTTGCTTGACTTTGATGCTCTTCAGGCAGTAAGACTAGCATCCATCTTTTCAGTTTTTGACACTGTTGATGATAATATTTGGGGATGACTACTTTTGAGGCAAAGAGATTAGTATAGAAGCACTGCCACTCTTTTTCAATTTCCCTTTGGTTGGTTGTAGTGGCGTCACCATCTTTCTAGAGAGCTTTGGTACTTTGACCTCTGCTACTTTTATGAATTGGTATAGTCAATGATTTTCATAGTTTTCTTTTAGTTTTCACCTAGTTTTTTTTTTAACTAACAAATAACATAACAAGAGTGTTCTATATATCTCCAATGTCAGCATTACAGTAACAAACTCAGAATGTAACCCAGTGGAGTCTGTGAGCAACCCATATGCAGGAGTTACAATAACAGCTTGATCTGTAGAGAGGATCCAAGCCAGGCTGCTCTTCCTTTGCATATGGCTTGAATCCTCTCTGCAGAATTTCAGATCTGTTACGAACTTCCTTCATGCAAAAAACTGTGGTTAGATTGTTCTTGCCATGAAAGAAGCTTCTGTGGAGAAATCTAGGGAACCCAGTTGGTTGTGGTTTTGCCACACTGCCTCATGATGCAGCAGCGGGCAAGCCTGCTAGCTGGCAAATATGCCAGGGAGATGTTCTCTCAACAAAGGCATCAGAGAAGCAGATGCTGGTGTTCTTCTCCAGACTCCGGTCTGCTCATTCTGTCTGACAGACCTTCTCTCAACAGCTCATTGAGCAGATCCGGATAACGGGGCAGTTTGTTATATTTGTTTATTGTGCTGATTTGGTTGAAGAGCTTTCTCGGGTAGTGCAATAAAGATTCTTTATAGCAGGATCTCAAGCGCCCATCCTCAAGAGATACTAATGGGTTTTCAAATGAGCAATAGTTTTTCCTGGCATTTAATAAAGGATAGGGCAGGGTTGGTGTCTGGTTTGGTTGGCTTCGATGCTACATAACATTCTTTCATTGCGGTGAATTTTGCATGAGATTTCTGCTTATGTTAGTTAATCCAGTTAGTTAGATTTACCTTCCTTTCTGCCTCCATCCTCTTGTAGTTTGTGAATGCTGAAAATGGATCTGATTGAAGTGAGTATCGGTAGTCTGAAGCTCTGTCCTTGCTTCTCAGCCTGAAAACATTACTTTTGTAATCTAAACAATTAGAATTTGGGAAGCACTGAAGGAAATACGATCAAACGGCTTCACTTAAGTATGTGTCTTTTCAGTCTAAGCTGACTGTTCTGAAAGAGCTTCCAGAATAATAGAATTAATAATATTGATATAAATCTTCTTGAATGCATTGTGATTAAACTGAGGATTTGTCTGAGTTAAATATTTAGTCAAAGAAATATCTTTAGATCGCTTCCTTTAGATATCTTTAAAAATCCTTAAGTAGTTAGCAGTGCAAACTGAAATTCATCTCATTCTCTTCAAGGTGAACACTAGCTGTAGAAGATACCATAAAGGACATTTTATTGAGTCATTTCATGTTACTGGATATATACAAGCTTCCCAGAACTCTAACAGCTTAACAATAACTCTTCCTTCTCTGATTACAGATGATCTGGCCAGGCCTCTGCTAATACTTGCTCTGAATACAGAAAAATAATACGGTTGTTTACCATTCACTTAACATGACCTTAGATACCGACCTCCACCTAAGAACAAAAATTATTTTAGGATGCTGTTTTAAAGAGCCAGTAAATTATTTTCTTATGGGAAATAGGAAAAAGAAAAGAAAACAGGGAGTGATGGAAATGGGTAACCAGTAAAATTGATCAATAGACATGCTTCTTTAAATTGAACATTGCTAGCTCCTTGAATTTTGGGCCAAAAGAAGTTATGACAACTAATACCTATTGCTTTTAAAAATTGGGCAGATTTATTATTGATAGATTATCACAAAAGACCTCCATAGTCAGAGGCAGTATATCTCAAAACTACCAATTGCTGGAGAAAAGGAGGAGTGAATGACTAGCATTATATGGCCTGGTTATGAGCTTCTGTAAGTTTTTAGCTAGCTACTCTTGGGGAAAGGCCCAATTCAGTAAGAAATAACCATTCTTCGCCTTTTATAAACATACTGACGTCAGGGTAAAATTATCTGGCGCACCAGTTGGTAACTATATGTGATTTTGCTCCAAGTATACGGAAATAACCCTACCCACTTTAAATGCATTATCTTTCCTTTCCTTTTTTGTTTTGTTTTTTTTAGTGGGATCTTGTCTGCGACTCTGCCTGGAAAGTTCACATTGCGAAATTTTCCCTGCTTGTAGGATTAATCTTTGGCTACCTAATAACAGGATGTATAGCTGATTGGTAAGTTCAACTAAAACCACTACAAAATTACTCTCCCTGAGGAAATACCATTTCGCCACCTCCAGTGCTGTTTAATTTTTTTCCAGAACATTCCACTTCAGTGCATGTACCACAAAAGCCCAGTATTTCACACCCACAATTGGAGGAATGGATTGTAATGAGGACAGAATGAGCAGAAATGGCAAAACTGACCTGTCTTGTCGGGCATAAAACGACAACTCTATAAAAGACAGGAAACCTTTTATGGACTTTTTGCTGAAAATTTAAAAAAAAAAGTGAAATGGTGATTTCTGGATTTGCTGATTGAAAAAAGGGTTGAATATAAGAAGGAATTTCTGTAATGTAATTTTAAAGAGGGAGGAGGGATAATTTGTTTGCAACTAAAAAGAAGATCAGTCATCACTTCTTTAACTGTCTTTTTCTTCTTTTCTTTCTCTAATTGCTTTCTGCACTTTTTCTTTTACACTTTTTCTTTTTCTAACTTATTTATATATTTTTACATTTATCTTTTATCTATATAAAAATCTGCAATAAAAATTATATTACATACATACATACAAAAGCCCCGTGTTGCACAAATGACTTGCTATTGATTGATGTTGTTGCTATGCTAAATAAAGTAATTTTAAATAATAAAAGAAGGCATTTGAGATATTATGGATGGCTTAAGCTGGTGTGCTTGCATTCAAGCTGACTGTCAGCTCCATTTTGTGTGGAAAATTCAGCTTCCAGAATCCCTCAGCTATTGAGGAAGTTTAGAGAGAATGAAAATAGATCTTACCTGAAATATCCTATCCCTGTACAGAATTTTAATGCACCTAAATATTTATTTCATTACAGCCATGGAGTTCATTGCTAGTAAGAAAAGAGAGAGATGAACTAGGAATTGTAGATACAATTGAGCAGAAGCCAGGGGGGAAAATCTGTTTCCAATAATAATTAAGGGAGGGATCACTTTCATTCTTGAATTTAAAAAAGCACAAAATAAAAATCCTTCATTCTATGCACGTAATACATTTTTCAGCCATTACTGGTTTGGGAATGTAGAGGGAGTTGTGCATTTTTACATGTCTCAGTGCGATCCAAACAGCTTTTATACCACATGCTGATATGTAATCAAATGCACCTCAGATTTACGCTTGCAGCTCCTAATGCCAGAAGTCCTGCCTATGCAGAAATTTGCCAGCACCAGCTTCATGCATTTCCATTTGCCTTAATTTCATAGCTTGACATTTCCCCAAATATGTTCTGCAAGTTCATGTTTTTCTAATTGGTAATTTGGTCAAATTACCTTTTCAATGAGTTTGTTTCGGTCAACAATTTAATGGGCAAGGGAGGAAAGGAAGAAGGAAGAGGCAGCCGCGTACAGTAACATTATCTGAAGCCAGAAACATGTTTTATACTTACTTCATTTTATTTCCTCAGAATTGTATGTCACCTTAATCTGTTGTCTCCAGAAAAATCATCCAAATTAGATGCCTGTATTTCCTTCTAGTTTTTAAGAATTAAAAAAAAGCAAAATAAATAAATAAATAAATCCTAATGGTGATTTGGCTTACTTGAATTGGGTAAATAATAAAATGAAATAAAATCATGATTAGAGCTTTGATAGGAGCATCTTACAGTTGCTCTGGTAACCAGCAGAGACTGAGACTATGTTTTATTAAGCATGCTGGGTACTTGAGTCTGGATTAGATGTCAGGGCTTTTTATCTAGGTAACGGTTGCAGTCTATGCATGCTTGTCATAAATGCCATCTCTGTCTGGTTCTGCTTCACCAGCTAGAACTAGCTTATTTGCAAAGCAGGCTATTCAGGGGCTAGATTTTTTTCCCCTTTCCTTTAAAAAAAACCCAACAAACCAATTCTTTTCTAAAAATCCTTCTAGCGTTGTCGTTCTGTAGGTAGACTAGGGATGGGTAAGCTGTGAATGGACCTTTAAGAAACAACAACATTACGTCGCTTTATTCTAGGGTGTTTTAAAAAGAATACTACTAAATTGGTTATGTGTAATGCACGAACAGAATCCACCGGCTGTTTGATGCCATTCCTTTTAGCATATCCCATGTTTTGGAAGAACGACACACAAAAAGTATATTACGCAGGCACAGTGTTTTTTCTGCTTTTATTTTCACTTTCTCGCACTGCTTACCAATGCATTTTCTTGTTTTTAATATTTTCACTAATGTTTTCATCTGTCTAGACACATTCATAGTGTAGAACAGATTAAAAATATAATACTATAAATAGTAATCCTAAGAAGCAATGATTTATTGTTTCTTATAGGATTTATCTAATCATCTACAAGCATACCTGCACATTCAAGAGGATTTCCTCTGCTTCTCCTCCTCTCCTGTAGCCCTCTAGCATACCTCAGATCTGCTCCAAAGGCCTTCCCAAAATTCTGGAGCAAATTTGGTGAGGTTTGGGATAAGTTGAGGGGGGAAAGAAAGCATTTATTTGGATGGTAGATTCTGTTCTGCCAACAGAGAGCCATCATTGGATACAACGCATAGTCTTTTTCAAAGCCAAGTTTGGATCCAAATGTTGATAACCATCAATTTTGTGCCAGTATCCCCAACACGATATTTGTGAGCACCATATAGCTATGGAAACTTTTCTTTGCACTTTCAGATCCCCACTCTACTTTTCAGTCATTTAAAGGCTTATTTTAAATAAAATTAAAAAGGAAGCCAGCGTGCTCTAAAGCAAAGAACCAGCCTCCAATCATCCTTATTTCCAAGAATGTCTTTGGATTCCACTTTGATTTTCATAGGTACAGGTAGTCTTTGCTTAACAACCACAATTGGGCCTGGCTAAATGACACAGTTGTTATGCAAAACACTATGTGACTGCGCCAGACTGTCACTCCAGCTGTGGTCATTAAGTGAATCGCCCATGGTTGTTAAGCGAGACATCATGTGACTTTAACTTACTATTTTATTGCTGGCTTCTCTATTGACTCTGCTTGTTGGAAGCCAGCTGTGAAGCACGCAAACAGTGATCACATGACTGTGGGACACTTCAATGGTTGTAAGTGCGAGGACTGGTCATAAAGTTACTTTTTCAGCATCGACATAACTTCAAACCATCACTAAACAGGGCAGTTGCTAAGCAAAAATTACCTTTCTTTCTTAGAAAATAAAAATGTTGAGTAGTTGCTTTATTTGTAAATGTACTCACTAGCCCCCCCCCCCCCAAAAAAGAAAAAGTTGGGAGCTGATAAAGAGCAAAGCTACTTTATGGCAGCCATGTTCTATGAGTGCCCCACATCATGATTTCAAAATGTGAAATAGACCAGAAAGATTGGAGTCTCCTGGTCTTGATTAGGAGTGGAGAATCTGTGACTTTCCAGATACTGCTTAGCCACAAGTCCCCAAATCCCTTAGCTTTAGCCATGCTGACTAGAGCTCCTGAGAATTACAGTTCAGCAACATAAGGAAGCTGCAGTGTTCTCATGCTTGATGAATAAAATGAAGGTGAAGCATCAAATAAAAACAATTGTGCTTTTAAAAAATTATTGTTGTTACAATTATTTGCAAAGAAAGAAAGAAAGAAATCCCACCAAACTTATATCTCTTGTACCAAAGAAAACTAGTCCTATTTACATCCTCATACATTTTAGAATTAAATTATTAAGTTTAAGTCAGTCTGTTTAACAGTAAGGAAAGAAAAGTGGAAAATTAAGTATACAATGCCCAAATGTTTAAGTAGTCATCTTGGGGAGACTCCCTTTGGTAAAATGGTTGTTTATAGAAGGAGAAGTGAGTTCCTTAGACCTTTGCATAACTAGATAAAGAATGGAAATGCTTTTGCTCGTTCTGTGTCAATTATTTTGCAATTGTAAAAGCAGAGAGTATCCACTTCTATTGTCCTCTCGTTAATTTCCAAAGAGTTAGTATAAAATCCAAAAGATTATAAGCATCCAAAAGGTATAGGGGGGAATAAAGCTTATTCAGGCACATTCTCCTCGCCCTCCCCTTTTTTTTTGTATGATGCTTATTTTTCATACCACAGTATATATTTTACCTAGAGAAGGCTTCAAAACCATTAATTAATGTAATTGTTTTTTTAAATATATCCAATCTGAATCATAAATCCCCAATGAGATACCGCTCCCAAAATGTTTTGACAGAGTTAACGATCGAGTTTTTTTTAACATGGCTGGGGAACATTGTATCCAGTGCAGAATTCTAATTTGCAGAGGGATAATATGGAACACGTAATATATAAATGCAATTTCCTTTTGTTCCTTTTTTCTTTTGATAGGGTTGGTCGTCGTCCAGTGCTGCTCTTCTCGGTGTTGTTCATTTTAATATTTGGACTGACAGTAGCCCTCTCAGTGAATGTGACCATGTTCAGCACACTCAGGTTTTTTGAAGGGTTTTGCCTGGCTGGAATAACCCTTTCCTTGTATGCACTACGTGAGTATCATCTTCAGAATGCATCTTGGATACCTTTGTAAAAAATGTTTATGGTCTGTTATAGGCATTATATTGGTTGCGTTTTCATATGATGAGAAGATTGAGGGCCAATTCTATATAAATCTCATTACTCAATTTCTTCTTGTGTCATCCTGCTGAAAAACTAGTCAAACTGGCTGGTGCAGCTACGGTGGTAGACAATCTCAGAAGCAGGAACAAGTGATGCAGAATGAAGATAACCTAAGAGGGGAACAGAAACTCTCTTGGATCACACTTAATCTAGCCAACCAAGTATGGCAAGATAGATGCTCGGGGAAGTGTATGGGTAGGGCTTGATTATATAGACTATGAGATGCCTCTTCCATCTCATCCTTTAATTATGCATTGAAGCTAAATGCCTTCTTCATTGGCCGCTGCACCGAAACATATTTGATTGCAACTAGGCTCAAGGCCAACATTTCACAATAAAATTTCTCTTCTCCTTGCCAACCTGCTTCAGACTTGCTTTGGAAGATACTGCTCCCTCAGATCTCCAAGCAGACTTTAGACAATATGCGCAGAGGTCAGAGGAGGCCATTTTTTCTGATGGTTGTTAATCTGTCCAGAGAAAACAGTGGTTGAATGCCACCCCTAATTGATCCCACTGAAATCAGTAGAATGTTCATCAAATCGGTTTATGGCTATGTCCAGCTAACATACTAAATACAGTTTACTGTTCCTGGATTTTACAATTCTTAATTTTTTCTCTCTTTCTCCATCCTATGGAGTAAAATTAACAATCCCCTCAAGTAGAGTTTGATCCTGGTAATTACATGGACATACATACTTCTTACATATTTCTTGGCAATGATACAGAAATGGTTGGTTTATCATTTCCTTGTTCTGGGGTGTTGTTTTTTTTAACCTCTCAAATTAACAAAAAACCCAGGATGTCCTGGTGGCCTCCCATACAAGTACTGCCCAGGTCTCACTCTGTTTAGCTTTTCCAAAATCGGCTAAGGTTACCTAGGGACTGCCACCTTATTCTGAGTTTTAGTTTTCTTGGCAGCAATCAGAACTAGATTCCTGTGGTCTTTTTCCTTGGCTTTCTAGTCTAGCCGAATATTGTTTACTTTTTGCAAGGTTGGCTAAGGTCAGCTAGATGGCCTTCAAAGGAATACAAACAGCATGGCTTCTGTGCCATGGTGCAATCTTCTGTTTTTTGTTCTGCAAACCCACCCCCATTTTTTCTGAATCTTTTTCCTTTCATTTCCCTTTCATTGTTTTCATAATGGTTACTCTAGGATCAGTAAGACCTCAGTTATGTAAGGTTAATAATGTAAGTTCATGTGGCAGTTAGGATAAGGAGTTGTTGTTAATCCATCAGTGTTGCTCTTATCTTCATATTTTCATAGGATAGGGAAGAGGATTTGCCATGTAGCCATGATTTATTAACTTGTTTTGCAAGTTTTGTTAAACACCCACTTCTTTTCTAGATCAGAGGGGGAAGCCTGCAAGGGGCTCACTTCAAAAGAATTAAGTCAGAAAACTTTCTGTTTGTGAATCAGTTTCAGCAGTTACACCTGAAAATTAAGTACAGAATGTATTGTGAAGCCTAAAAGGTCAAAATGGTGGCTTATATCCAAAGTTCTCTAAGCAAAAGGAAAAAGTGTCTTAGAACTGTTCTGTGAACTCTTACAGGTAGTAGAGAGATGAGGGAATTGATGTATGCCTCAGTTGCTATCAATTTCTTATTTTCCTACTGATAAACCTATTCTGTCTCATTTCTTCCTTATTTGCAACTTGAGCCCACCTTAATGTTTATATGCATATTTGCTTAAAAGATTAACGTAAATCTGTTTAATTGTTGTCGGCTTTTTGCAAGCAGTGTCCTTAAAAGAAAACCTTTTTGGAGATTTCTTTTCACTAATGTAAACATCTGGGTCACACATTCCTTTAATAGCTACATTATCATGTACATTTTTTGTTTGGAGAACTATATTACAAAATTGGGAAAAGGGCAAATATTAAAAGGTTTGCAAATTGGTATAGGAAGAGATCTCAAGTACATTACCTATTATTCAGGTAGGCTAGAAATATTCCCTGAAACCATTGTTAAGGTATGATTTATTTAAGGATAGTTTATTGGAAAACTCTTTCTCAAACAAACACAATTGACTGAGTTTGTGGAATGCACTGAGCTGTAGGCCATGATTAACAACCCCACCCCACCCCACCCCCAAATCACACTGTGCCTTAGTGAGCTGGATGAACCAGGAGATTGTTGATAGCTTTGAGTCTGGATGCAGCCATCTCCTGATTTAAAACCCAAGGCAACTTCCTTTGATGTTTTTGTGAACTGAACAAAATTATCTTAATATAGCTTGGGAACATAATAATGGAATGTAGGTCGCAAAGTACAATACCACATAAGATACAGGCATGTCATTTCTAACATGACACAAAGGATTGTTAGAGAAGATCTTGAACAATTAGAAGACCTCAGAATTTGTGGTCCTTATTTTTACACGGGGTTACTTTACCTGGTGAGAAATAGCCCTTCTATGAACAGAATAATCTTTCTGCTAGCTAAACAATGTTGTTGGAATCAGGCCCATTTCAGTACAATATTGCTTCTTTGTTTAAAGATGCATACTCTGCTTTTTCACCATGAAAGCCCTTGAGGCGACCTTCAAAAACAGTATTACATCATGTTTAAAGCATTACTGTATACCCAATAGAGAAATCTAATGAATTGTGCTTGCCAAGTTAAAAGAAAATGTGGGGGGGTGGGGAATGTTTAATCATTAAGAACCATGCAATTAATCTAGATTACAAATACAAAATGTGCAATTGTAGCATCTTTAGAATCCATCATTAACTCCTCAAAAATGGAATTTTGTTTACAATTTTAATCTGAGTACTTTGCAAAGCTAGGTTCCTCATTCAATAGAAATGGAAACTGAAATTTCATGGCCCCATAGACTACCAATTGATTGACGTTTGTGTTGAGTAGTGCACAATCTTTTTGGTATATAGCACTCCTTTATGAAATGTAAGGAGTTTGAAAAAATTGTAATTTATGTCGTGAGTTGCAAGGAAAGAGAAGGAGAGGACAACCCATACAAGATGGATTGACTCAATTACATTTATGATGAGCGTCACCATTGGAAGGTCTGAAGGACCAAGGTGGGTACCATTTGTCCTGGAGAAAATCTATCTGTGTGGTCACTAAGAATCAATATGGACTTGATAGTACATTATCAATTAAATCAATCAGAGCATGAACTGGTTTAAAAAATGCCTTTATGGATGCAATTCTTTAGATCTTTGGGGTATGCTTTACTCAGAATCAGAAGTATTTTTCAAATCATTTCAGTTCAGTCTGAGACATACCAAATATTTCTTTCTGAAAGTTCATGGTGCAATAGTGAAATTACACACCCCTGGAAAGAACAGATACAGGATACTTTTTTTTTTTCTTGCTTTGCTTTATTTTTAAGGGTCTAAATGGCAGTAATTCCATTACCATGAATCCAAGACACCTGTCAATCCTAGCTTTCCAACAAGAGTATGTCTCATAAAGGCTTCTCTCTTATGAAAAAGTGCATATCTAGGTGTGATCTTTCAGGGAGGGAAGAATGTGTAAAGCATTCCTGAATAAGCTTTTTTTTTCCCTAAGCAAAAGTAAAAAAAATACACAACCATAGCAAACTTTTATTCAGATTCAAATGATATCTTCGTGGCCAAATTGAGTAATACAGGTAGTCCTCATTTAGTGACTGCCTCATTTAGTGACTGTTCACAGTTACATTGGTGATGAAAAAGTAACTTTGCAACCAATCCTTGCATTTATGACCTTTGCAGGTCTGTAAAGCAAAGGAAAGCTGAAGTAAGATCATAAGCACAGTCACAGTTTCACTTAGTGACCACTTCACTTAACAACTGAATCACCAGTCCCAATTGCAGTAGCTAAATGAAGACTACGTGTATGGGCAAATAACCCAAGAAGGAAGGTAGTATTTCCAGAAAGTTTTGGGGATCTTCTAAGTAACTTCTATCTGTCCTTCCTTCCTTCCTTCCTTCCTTCCTTCCTTCCTGTAGTAATGTAACCATATAAGAAAGTTATGTAGTTAAATAGGTTGAAAAGTGCCAGCTAGCTGCATTTATATTCTGGATTTTTGTGCAAAGTTGCTCATTTCCCATAGGCTTTTTTACCAAAAAATATTTGGCTCTGACTGAAACAGGCATTAAATTAGTTGTAATTGAAAATGAATCTGTGTCAGAATGAAATGAAATCGTACGAGTTGGAAGGAACCATTTAGG